GGTAGTTGCAGCACACAGGCTTAGTTGCTCCGTGGCAATGTGTTCCCTGCATTGGCAGGCGGATTCTTAACCACTGAGCCACCAGGGAAGCCCCTAATTCAGTTTTGATTGCTGTTCCTGCTTTCCTTTTAGTAGCATTTGTATGGTCTTTTTCCTTCTCTTTATCTCAACTTTCCTGTGCTGCTTTTTTTAGGTGTTTCTAATGTTATGTAGCTGGGATTTAAATTTTCCTTTTGCACCATCTTGACATCTTTTATTTCGAACAGGTGAGTTTAACCCATTTATACCTATAAGTCCTACTACGTTTGGCTATATTACTGCCTGATTTTGTTTTACACTTACCATGATTTCTTTGAAAAAAAAAAAGTTTTGTAAAGTTAGGTTTTTTTCCCTTTATAACGTGAGCCATCCATACAAGTGATGGCAAATCAAACATCCTGCAGCCACCCACTCAGATCTGCATCCTCCTCGTCTTTCTTCCTACCTCAGGGCTGCTTTTTGATGGCTGTGATGGAGATAATTTTTTTTTTTGGTGGGGGGAGGGTATTTCCATAGTTCCCTTTTCAGTACTTTTCTCATCGCTCTACTGCAGCGGTCCCCAGCCTTTTGGGCACCAGGGAGACTGGTTTTGTGGAAGACAATTTTTCCACGGACGGGGGGTGGGGGCATGGTTTTGGGAGGATTCGAGTGTATTACATTTACTGTGCACTTTATTTCTATTATAATTACATTATAATATATAATGAAACAATTACACAGCTCACCATAATACTGACAGGAGGCGGAGCTCAGGCGGTAATGCGAGCAATGGGGAGCGGCTGTAAATACAGATGAAGCTTCACTCACTCACCTGCCATTCCCCCCCCCCTGTTGTGTGGCCCTGTTCCTAACAGACCAAGGACCGGTATGGGTCCACGGCCCAGGGGTTGGGGACCCCTGCTCTACTGCATCTTCCTACTGCCCTATCCACCTACTCTCCCATTCTTTCTCTGAGAACACAGATGATCCCACCATACCTATTTATTTCTTTTACAGGCCATGTTCTCAGCTAGCTTCTCTGCTTGAAAAGATCTGAAACAATCCCTGAAGAATTATTAGCTAATAAAGGGCTAGTTGGCAGTGGCATTTTACCAGAAGACTCCTGAAAATTAACAAACCTTAAAGACCTAAAGGAATGAATCTGGGAGGGCCTTCATCAGCCAGACTGCCCAAGTTTGAATCACTTCTGTCATGTATCAATAAGCAATTTATTTCCCTCTTCATGCCTCAGTCTCCTTGCCTTTACAATAGGCTAACAAGAGCACCTACTCTATAGGGCTGTGAGTTACTATGTGTCAAGAGCATAGAATAGTGGCTGGCACATGATAAGAGCTCAAGAGAGCTTAGTGCTATTTTTTATCATTCTAACAGATCTAAAGAAATACTTTTGCATAGGGTTGGCCTTGGTGGTTTTCTATGTGTGAGGATACACCAATGAGAACAGAAAAAAGACACCTGACATAAATACATTTCGATAAGAATCTGGTCTTACTCATCTTTGCATGGCAGCTTGGAGTCCATAGCACCTTGAGCCCCTGGTCACAGTGACTGCTCGGCACAGGTCACTGAATGACAAATGAACACAGGGACTAATAACTAGATTTCTAAAATAATGTAGGAGATAATGGGAACAGATAGGCTGAAATCTCCTATAAGGTTAGACAATAGCGTATTACTGAGTAAAATGTTCAACGATATAAAATTTCCAGAAGTACCATTATAAACATGGGCATAAATATCATCTAGGTAAGAGCTATACCGTGAAGATGTGCTCAGAAGAGGTGACCTCTCTACTGAAGAGCTGCTTATTTTGTTTTTTAAAAAAAGGGAGTCCCTCTGGTAAAATTTTATTTAGCATCAAGAATTTAAATTATAAGACCTCTTCCCTGAAAACAAACAAAACTGGTTTACGTGAGAGTCAAGCTCTCAGCCTGGTAAACAGAGGTGTTGTGTCTATCTTGCAGGAAGGTTACATTATTTTCTTACTTCTTCCGTATGTATAACAAACAATTTTGCTTTATTAGAGTAGCAAAAGTCTCCAGTTAGTGCTTTATTTTTTCATTCTCCATAGAATACTGATTTTGTAACATGGATTACAGTCTGATACGTACCATTACAACAAAAGTTTCACTTTATGAAAGTTCAGCAAAAATACATCAGCAAGGATGTAACTAGTGCATTTACTAAAACTCATCATGATGATAAAACCAAGTGATCACACACAATAAGCTTTACATTTGACATACCAGCTACATCCTAGGAGAGCCAGTGTGTTTGGCAGGTGATTGATATATGTAAGTAATGACACTGATCAATCTTAACACTTCTGAAATGTTAATTCTTTATCAGTTAAACCTAAACTAAATCAATAGAGTATTGAAACATAACAAGGATGAAATCCAAAATTTGTTGAACAGAGACAGTAGTAAACAGTAGGAAGAGCACTGAATTGGGACCTAGACCTTGTCTTATCTTTGGCCCTGGATGGATGACCTTGGGCAAGTATTCTAGGCTATATGAATCCTTCACTCTTAAATGAGAGAGTTGGCTGGATGGTTCTCTAAACTCTTTCTAGATTTAGCTTTCCATAATTCTAAAATCTTTGACACCAATTCATTTTTGTGTTGTAAAGTGAAATGTCTAACAATACTACCTTGGCAGTTGGGTTGAGTCCAGCTCTGCCACACAAATACGACTTGTTGCTTGTGTTCAAGTCCCTTCCTTCTGAGCCCCATGACAGCCCTATCCTCAAATTAACAAACAGTAATGACAGGCTTCAGGAGGTAAACAAGCTTGTCCTCCACTAGACACAAACTCAAGACCCCCAAACTCATGGTTATTAAGAAAAGCTATAATGGAAGAACTATGGGGACAACCCACAACATCCTCTTTGGTAAATGGTACAATAACACAATTCAGTAATAGAAGAAGGCAGGTACAGATATTAATTACAGTACATAATTAATTTTCAACTGTTATTTGTGAACCTGCACAAAAAATATACACACAATTAGAATTGTATCAATATGAACTATAAATTCAAGGTCTAGATGTACACGGGAGCCTTTCTCATGCTGCTAATCTGAAAGAGGCTTATTGTAGTTTCACATGTTTGTAACTCTACAGGAGGAAGCTGGGATTCTTTTTACTAACGCTGGCTTCTATTCCGTTATCTGAAAAGTCCACCTCTCTCACATAATCACATAAATTAAAGATGTCCAAGCCCCCCTTTAGGGCATTTCCTCCATCCCCTACTTTCCTTATCAGATTACTGTCTTTTTGTTCTAAAACACTGAATGACTGGCTTCCATCAGCCCTATCTGAAAATCAAGTAGACTTTATCTCTTTTGACCTAAGGTCTAAATTTGTCCGTATTTCTTCCTAATATTTTAATGTAATTCCTATCTCAATTGTATTTACACAATTCTGAATATTTAACTATGGTATCCATTATGGAAATTAACCCAATTCAATGAACACGAATGCGCAAAGCAAAATTACTTTGAAAATGTCGTTTTCTTAATAAGCATTATCCTTTCATTAAAGTACTAAAGTGCTTCCCTTTTGACAGCAGTGATTACTTTAAGCAACTGTATGAGCCTTGAAACATTTTCCAACATCTCTAACCCATGCCCCCTTCCAGAAAATATAAAACACTCACCTTTCACTGTCCTCCTCCCTCCTGAGGGGACTGAGGACCTGTACCCTACAAGGTCTCTCTGATTGAGAATCCCTGATATTGAAGAAATGGCATCGCCAGCCGTATATTATGTTGAGCTTTGCCTTTCCATAATTTGACTGTAAAACAACAGATTTATTTTTGCCTTCCCAGAAATGTCATTTTTTTAAATTACCAAATATGCTTTTCGAACTCTACAGCTCCCTTCTATCCCTCATTCCTTACAAGATTTTAATACACTTCTTTATGGGGACAAGACATCTCCTCTTGAGAATCACTGAACCAAAATATAATTTCTGAATTACTATTCATGATAAAGCTCAGTAACTAAGTTTGAGAAAACAGTATTCAATTTAAAGACAGAAAAAAATAAATATTACAATATTGAGTATATTCTAATTATTAAACCAAATTATTTAAACTTCATACCTGAAAACTAACGTAGAGTTAGTTTTTAAAATGTTTTAAAAATGTTTTTAAAATGATCTACTGGGGCTTCCCTGGTGGCGCAGTGGTTGAGAGTCCGCCTGCCGATGCAGGGGACACGGGTTCGTGTCCCGGTCCGGGAAGATCCCAGATGCCGCGGAGCGGCTGGGCCTGTGAGCCATGGCCGCTGAGTCTGCACGTCCGGAGCCTATGCTCCGCAACGGGAGAGGCCACACAACAGTGAGAGGCCCGCGGACCGGAAAAAAAAAAAAAAAAAAAAAAAAAAAAAAAAAAAAAAAAAAAAAAAGATCTACTGAAACGATAATGAAATGCACCTTTCATACTGGTCAATTATAGTAACAAATTATATTGCTTTCCTTTGTTGAAATGCTTTCTTTGATTATATAAACTGCAGAGTTATACCCTCCATTTTCCACTCATTTTCAGATATTCAGAACTAAAACTTTTAGATTTTTCTAAATAAATTTTTATCAGTTGTTACCTAGTTTAGCAACTTAGAATCGAATCTATTTCTTCTATGGAATTGCCAACTATCACAAACGTCTCTCTGACTGATGCACAATGACAGGGATATAAAATACCCATGTCTGCAAGAAATACTTATATTGTCTTTATTTTTCCAAATTCTAATAGAGTGAAATTCTGTATACCCTGAAGCTAAAATGATAATGCACATACAGTTTTAAAAATAGTTTTGGAGAAAATACGGATGCATTTCTTCCCAAAATTTAAAAATGATTTTCTGCACCTAAGTTAAGCAGATTGGAAAGAGGAGACAGGAAAGGTCTACCTCCAGATCCAAGGTGAAGGGCCTAAATAAAATCATTCAATGCAGCCCCCAACAAGGCACAATAGTTTAAAATTTTACACCAGTGACACCAGGGAGGGGTCCTACTACCATGGCTGTCAGTATTCTGAATCTATGCGCTTTGCAATGGTGTTCAGCTGGATATTTGAAGTTCCTTCATATATTGTACCTTAAACAAAGGGGAGAAAAGGAACAATTAGGAGTGGAGCTGTGGTTAAGAGTCTATACAAGAAACAGCTCTGCAAACACTACCTCTGCATTTACTGTAAAACTTTACCAGGAATACTGTCCAATGTCCCCTGAATATGGTACTATTTGACAAGGTAATTCTGCCTAAGAGATAACAATTTTCTATTTGGTTTACAGATTCCCAGAATCAGTATTAAACAGCTGGAAGTTTTTTGTTCCTAAACTATCAACACACAAGCCTGGATGGTTCCTCAGGAACAGGCAGCTTTCATAACTGCTGTTCCTATTTTCCCACCTGGCAGTGGAGCAGCGGAATGCTCAGGCTTGGGTAGGCACTTAGTGTCTAAAATTAGAACTGAGCTTCAAACAACAGCATTAAACTAATAGAAAATATTAACATCTTTAGTAAAAGAAAATTAAGACAGTAGATTTTGTTATGGTTTCACTGAAAGGCCTTCAGAGGCCTTGAGGCATTTAAAAAGGAAATTTGATGTTTTAAAAAAATATATATATATAAATCTATTTTTTTGAAGGAAGAAGTAGGGGAAAACAACGCAGCCACAAGAAAAGGAGCCAATAAACATAACTGAAGAGATTAAAACTGCCTTTGCCTACGCACCAGTAATTTAAAAAATCAAACAGATACAACAGCCTAAAACACCTACAGAGTCGAAACAAAATAAATGTAAAAACTCTGTTTACCAATCTTCGCATCTCGGAAGTATTTTTCCACGGGGTAATTTTTGGTGTAGCCTACTCCTCCCATCCACTCGATACATTTGCCAGTTATTAGGCCCGCAATCTACCAAAAAGCAGCAGCAAATCACATGTTGAAGCCACATAACTTATGCATTACAAACACTCTTGTAGAATATTCTTAGTAACACGGATTCACTGTTATTGGCAGTTGGAAGGATTGAAGTCATTTTATAAATTAGCATTTCTCCTTAGCCCCATTCTCTATACATACCATTTATGTAAAATATCCTATTAGTTCACAAAATTCTTATTTTCTTAAGAAAATGAGGGTACTTGTTTAGACTCATACTTGTCGACAGGTATCATTTACTCAGCAAATGTTAATCAAGGGCCTTCTTATGTCACCCAGTCTGCCAGCCACAATGGTGAGGGGTGGCCAGTCACTCACTGCCCTTTTGATCCTGCTGGTCATTCAGAGAGACAGACATTGAATAGCAATCACCGAAACTGAAAAACTGTATGGGGCAAGAGAAGAGCCTGCTAGGGAAGCTGCCATGACTTCGATGGGGGATAGGTGAGGAAATTACAGCCTCGCTGATAACTAAAGGATGAGTTAGGGGACATTTCAAGCTGAGGAATGACACGTGGAAAGGCCCCAAGGGGAAAATGGGTTCATCAGCCTCAAGGGCCTGAGGACCAATGGGCTGGGATCGGGGTGACCTGTATAAAGGGAATGGGGGGGGGGCTTCCCTGGTGGCGCAGTGGTTTAGAGTCCGCCTGCCGATGCAGGGGAGGAAGAGAGAAGACCTATCCATCTCAAACTCTTCTAAAAAATTAAAGAGGAAGAAGTGCTTTTTCACTCATTCTATGAAGCCAGCATCACCATGATAAAAAAACCCATAGCCGCGCAACACAAAAAAAAAAAAAAAAAAAAAAAAAAGAAATATTTAGGGGGTTGAATCCTCAAAACTGAGGATGGATTCAACTGGGGGATGAGGGAAAGGAGGGTGTCAAGCGCACTCAGGTTTGTGACTGGGGTCGGGGGGAGGTGGGTAGGTAAAGCAGAAGCGGGATCTATTAGTCTGGAATTCAGAAGGGAGGCTGAGGCAGAAGATTAAATCTAGGGGCTGAAGAGGTTAAATAAATATTTGAAGCCAGGGAATGACTAAGACATACTGCCGAAGCTGGGAGAGAGCAGCCCAGTGATGAGGCTAAGTTTCCACCAAAGTCCAGTGTGTTACATGTAGAATGCATATGCATGAGCGGGAAGCATTAACACATGGACAGTCCCTTCTTGGGCATTTTTGTTTCACATTATCTCCAGGGCATTCACTTCATCCCAACCATCGTTCAGCTGAGGCTCATCCAGGGATTTACGGTGGGCCTTCTACCTGAACTGGGTGCCTCGGTTTCCACCTAAGAGCCTATGAAAACATGGAGACCTCACAGAATCAAAGCACCTCCCTATGGCAGTTTTACTTTTTTGTATTTCTGGTGTAGAAACTAGAAAGTTCATGCTATTTTACTTGAAAAACAAATGCGTAACCAACATTTCTAAATGAAGAGGTTAATAAATAAATATCTTAAAAAAAATAAAAAGACTGACTTTTTTTTCTTTTACCTCTGATGCATAGTACTTGGCCATAGATGATTCTTTAATGAATGGCCTTCCAGCTTCTAAAAGCCTTGCAGCGTTGTATGTGAGTAATCTTGCAGCTTCTAGCTGGGTGGCCATGTGAGCCACTTGGTGCTGGAGCCCCTGTAACATTCAGGCCCAAGGTAGAGAACTGTGATTTCTGAAAACAGCTCATTGTCAAAGTCCTGCCTGGATGTGGAACACTGACAGATTCAAAATATACCCGTCCAAAAATTCACATTCATTTCGCAAGAATAGTTTAAAATCTGCAGTCTAAAATAAACCACTACAGGGACCTCCCTGGCGGTCCAGAGGTTAAGACTCTGTGCTCCCAATGCAGGGGGCCCGGGTTTGATCCCTGGCCGGGGAACTAAGATCACACATGCCACAACTTCTGAGCTGGCGCGCCGCAACGAAGACCCAGCGCAGCCACAATAAATGAGTGAATGGGGGCTTCCCTGGTGGCGCAGTGCTTGAGAGTCCGCCTGCCGATGCAGGAGACGCGGGTTCGTGCCCCGTTTCGGGAGGATCCCGCGTGCCGCGGAGCGGCTGGGCCCGTGAGCCATGGCCGCTGGGCCTGCGCGTCCGGAGCCTGTGCTCCGCAAATGGGAGAGGCCACAACAGTGAGAGGCCCGCATAACGCAAGAAAAAAAAAAAAATAAATAAATAAATAAATGAGTGAGTGAATGAATGAATAAATAAATAAATAATAAAATAAACCACTACGTGCATTGCTTCTTTAAAAAATTTCAAAGTTCAGGTAATTGTTAGCTGCCAAGATTTAAAAAATAAATGATCACAAAATTAGGTCTAAAAATTTGACTTATTTTTAATAATGTGTCAAACACTTGAAACATTTACCTGATTCTGAATCACCCTAGATGGTACAGAGTGTTATCTTTATTTTACAGATGAGGCAGTTGAGGTTTGGAGAGGTGAGGTAACTAAAGCTAGTAATAGTAAGACAAAGAACCAGGATTTGAACCCCGGAAGTCTGACTACAGACCCCATGCCCTGGAACTCTGAAGCAGTGAGGAGGCAGCTCCCAAGTGCTCACCAAGGTATCCTGAATCATGCCATAGCCAGGCCTCAAGGATTACTGCTCTGCCCTTGGAGAAGGTCAAGGCAGGCACAAGTAAATGCACCAAGATCTACTCCTTCCTCTCTGTGCCTCTCCCATTAAAATCCCCGAGGGGATTCCCTTACAGCTTTGTAACGAAGCCCTTCATTAATGGGAAGAGGGAGAGCACAGCACTATAGAAAGATGGTAATAATTATATACCTGAAAATCAAATATTCTTTTGCCAAATTGTTCCCTTTCTTTAATATATGGAATAGTGTAGTCAAAACATCCTTGAGCCAGTCCCAGCATCTGTTAAAAAAAAAAAAAAATCAGAATTTCTTATTTTTTATGTTTATGCTCTTAATTATTCAAGTTATGAAGTTATGAAGTTATTCAAGTTATGAATGCTTTTTACAGGCAAATTGAAAAGTTGGGGTGGGGAAAGGACTAGAGATACCGAGATGGTGAGGTCTAATGTTAATGACCTTCATCCACTGCATTTATAGAACTTAATTTCTAGTAATTGGGAGAAAATTTTTTTTTTTTTTTTTGGTACGCGGGCCTCTCACTGTTGTGGCCTCTCCCATTGCGGAGCACAGGCTCCGGACGCACAGGCTCAGCGGCCATGGCTCACGGGCCCAGCCGCTCCGCGGCATGTGGGATCCTCCCGAAACGGGGCACGAACCCGCGTCCCCTGCGTCGGCAGGCGGACTCTCAACCACTGCGTCACTGGGGAAGCCCTGGGAGAAAATGTGAGTAACTTCCTGTGAAGAAGAGCACATTTGATTCCAGGCGCTAAACCTCCTGGCGTGGCTGTGCTCATGCACCCAGGTTACTTTTTGGGATTCTTCTCCCTTAGGCTTGAGTCTCCAGGAACAAAGTGAGCCTCAGAAATTTTGCTCAAAGACTGGCCTCAAAGACGGTAGAGTAGCTGCCTCTAGTCCTTCTAGAAGTCAAATGTGCAAGGTCACTTCTGGTCTTCTTTTGTATATGATCAGGATTAACAAGAGCTTTGGTGGGTAGGGCATCAGAACATAAAAGAGCAATGTTTCTGGGGCTTCCCTGGTGGCGCAGTGCTTGAGAGTCCGCCTGCCGATGCAGGAGACGCGGGTTCGTGCCCCGTTTCGGGAAGATCCCACATGCCGCGGAGCGGCTGGGCCCGTGAGCCATGGCCACTGAGCCTGCGCGTCCGGAGCCTGTGCTCCGCAAATGGGAGAGGCCACGACAGTGAGAGGCCCGCATAACGCAAGAAAAAAAATAAATAAATAAATAAACCAAACAAAAAAACGCCCAAAAAACAAAAAATCATCTCGGGGAGCTCAATAATGGGGGTGGTGGTGGTGGTGGTGGTGAGTGTGGCCTAAACACCAGCATTCTAAAAACTCTTTAATGTTTTAATGCACAGCTAGAGTTGAGGATAACTGCACAGAGGAGCTGGTAAAAACATCAGTTTATACATTTCAAGAACTAATCAGGATGTGGTGACAGTTTTAGCTGGACTGTCTCATTGCAAACTAATCTCCGTAACAATTGAATGACTCAACCTTAGAAATTGTTTCTAAATTCTAACATTAGGTAGCCATTAAATCACTATCTAATTACAGATGGCCAAGAGGCACATGAAAAGCTGCTCAACATCACTAATGCAAATCAAAACTACAGTGAGGGATCACCTCACACTGGTTGGAATGGGCATCATCAGAAAATCTACAAACAACAAATGTTGGAGAGGGTGTGGAGAAAAGGGAACCCTCTTGCATTGTTGGTGGGAATGTAAATTGATACAGCCACTATGGAGAACAGTAGGGATGTTCCTTAGAAAACTAAAAATAGAATTACCATATGACCCAGCAATCCCACTCCTGGGCATATACCCAGAGAAAACCATAATTCAAAAAGACACATGCATCCCATGTTCATTGCAGCACTACTTACAATAGCCAGGTCATGGAAGCAACCTAAATGCCCATCGACAGACGAATGGATAAAGAAGATGTGGTACATAAATACAATGGAATATTACTCAGCCATAAAAAGGAACGAAATTGGGTCATTTGTAGAGAGGTGGATGGACCTAGAGACTGTCATACAGAGTGAAGTAAGTCAGAAAGAGAAAAACAAATATTGTACATTAACACATATATGTGGAATCTAGAAAAATGGTACCAATGAACTGGTTTGCAAGGCAGAAACAGAGACACAGATGTATATAGAGAACAAACGTAAGGACACCAAGGGTGGAAAGGGGAGGGTGGTGGTGGGATGAATTGGGAGATTGGGATTGACATGTATATACTAATATGTATAAAATAGATAACTAATAAAAAAAAATCACTATCTAATTATGCCAAACCATGTACGTTTTAGAAAAAGGAAAAGAAAAATCAATAGTTAAAGCTTTTGGGGAAAATGCCCACAAACTTATCAATATTTCATTAGTGTTCATTCAAATTTTCCTGTAGCCTTTTATTTTGAACTTTCTGGAGAATGGAATACTACGCTGAAAATTAAAGGACAAAACCCAAACCAAACCAAAACAAAACCCCAAAAGTAAATTAAGGTGAGACAGCGACTCACTGCACTTTTGGCTATGAGAGAAGAGGATGTCATTAAACCCTTATAACTAAAGTTTACAATATGCCAACAATATGGTATATCGACCCAAAAACCGTAATTATCAGTTGTCAATCAAAACAGGCTTTTCCAAAACAGTGTAAAATGTTTTCACTATAAAGACTGAAAACCTAAATTCTTTACAACTACAGAGTCTTGAGGTTGGATGCCTCCAGTTCACTGTTACATGTGCCTCTTTCTCCGAAAAGCATCCACAGTATTAACCAAGAAATAATAACTATCAGACCTTACCTTTTTCTCTCTTTTTTTCTGACCTTAAATTTAACTAGGTTATAAGATAACTTGGAGTAATTAGACTAAAGCCCAGGCTGTGCATTTACTGCCAGACATCTATATCATTTACAGGTCTGGGAATAAGGAAATCCAGTGTTGTAGTTTTTAATGTCATATCCGATGAAGTTGAATCACAGAAAAACTTTAAAAAGAACAGATAAGCCAGATCTCTTTACTGACCTATTATCTAGTTTTGTGGGAAACATGGGTTAAGTTCTGATCTGAGAATATTTTGTTAGCAAATTAACAGCAGCAGCAAAAAAAAAAAAAAAAACTAGAGTACAATTACAATTTAAATACTCCAAAGAGCTAATATATGCAACATCTTCAAAATCTAAAAGCTATAAGTTTTTGAATTTTGGATACTCATTGATTAAAAATAAATACATTACAAAAATGAAATAATTCATAACAAAACCAAAGACTTTATTCATTTTGTGATTCTAGAAAATAACTGATATCACCTAATAGAAAAATTTAATATGCTGTAAGGGCGAATTTGATAAAAAACTGAATAGTTTTCATCATACGTATCTGTTTAATTGTCGCCATTTTAAGTGCCATATCAAAAAAATTGTCTGATTTTCACATGCAAAACACTAAGCAACAAATCTTTTATTATCTATAGAGACTCTTACTACACAATAGAATGTTACTTATTCTTAATTTTAAAAATTTCAGAATGAATCACATACTTTGAAAAGTTGATTTAAAAAAATACCACATTTAATCTATAATGTACTTAAGAAGTTATCGATCCAGGTATTAGATAATACTTTAAATGCTCTCAAAGCAGAAAAACTGTTACCACTAAGCCATTGTTTGGTTCTCAGGACATTATATAATTGACCAAAGTGGAATCTTAAAGAAATCACAGCCAGAAGCTATTCTTTTACCTCATGGAAGGGAAGGGTGCCATCTTGTGTTCACAAGCTTCCAAATACTCATTGGTTTTACTGCATTTTTTCTTTTTACATTTTGACTGTGTGTGGAAGAGTCAAGTTAAAGGACTAAAATTTGACTCACCTGTGCAGCAATTCCTATTCTACTTTCATTAAGACCCCCGATGGCGTACTTATAGCCATGTCCAATTTGTCCCAGGATACTGGCTTCTGGAACCTGAAAAGAAAAACGTGCAGTTATTTCTCAATTTAATTTAACATAATTCATTTTGGTAATATATTTTTTAATGCACATATACTCCCAACTTCTGTGATAATTCTCTAGCATGGTACTTATTAAACTCCAAGGAAATTATCTGCTATGTCTCTGTCTCCCTCTAAACTGTTTCCCTCATGCTCTCAGAAGGATAGGACTCAAGTCCATGCTGTTCACTATTGCATCCTCCAGAGCCCAGCAGAGACGTTCGATGAATCTAGAAAAATGAAATCTCATACAATTAATCAATAACATAAATGAGTAACAATTTTCCCCGAACTCTTATCTGTATGCTACAATATAAGATAAAATATTAGGAATAGCAGAAAACATATAAGGGTAGAAACCTTTCTTCTGTTGAGATTATCACAACAAAAATCAGCTGAAGGCCGTGTGTGTGTGTGTGTGTGTGTGTGTGTGTGTACACAGGCATGTGTACCAAACAGAAAGGAGGAGAGAAGAAATACATAAAACTATTCAACCGCTACTTGAAAAAAGATCTAGACTAGGTAATTTTAGAAAATGCACTTAGCTTCTTAATATGGGCAGTTAGGAGAGAGAGTGGGCAGAATGGAGAAAGAAAAGGGAAATTAGAAGAAGAAAGACAGTTGGGGTGCAGTAGTGAGGCTCACACAACATCCATAAGGACACCCCATGGGCACACACACAATCACCAGTGAGCCAAAAGGTCACATTCTAATGAGTGGTAGAAAATCCATCACATCCTGTCCAACCTATGTAAAGTTCTAAAGCACAGAATTCTAGTTATCTTTTCCTCGTTTTTTTTTAAGACTCAACTCTAAACTGTGGGTGCTGCCTGGCTGTTTTCCACTCTCACTGAGCAACACCCCCATCTTGTGGCCTTGCTGGGCCGACACCACACTCCTCGGAAGCTATGTGTGATGCGCAAGTACCAGGTTTATGAAGTATAAATGAGATTAATCCTCGGGCTGGCTCTTGAGGCCAGCTGCTGGGCAGACAGGATTCCACCTCTGGCCTAAACTCTCTTGGGAAGTACATTTAGGTCATAACCTAACCTAAGATCATCGTTCAAGAGTTTTACAAAGCACTCTCCTATGCACGCCTAATAGTGCGATGCCTTTCTCGCACAGTTATACTTCCGGGCAAAGCCATTCCACATCTAGGATACCCACCTTGACATTTTCAAACGTTAATGGGCAGGTAGAAGTAGCTCTGATTCCCATTTTGTTCTCTGGTTTCCCTATGTGAAGGCCCTCAGTATCACGATCTACCAAGAAGCAGGTAATTCCTTTATACCCCTGAAATGAAGATTTAAAATGCTATAATCACTTTGACTGATAAGATCCCTTGCTTCCAGAGTTCAAAGTAAACAGAAAACGAAAAACAAACCTTAGGGACTTCCCTGGTAGTCCAGTGCTTAAGAATCCGCCTGTCAATGCAGGGGACACGGGTTCGAGCCCTGGTCTGGGAAGATCCCACATGCCACAGAGCAACTAAGCCCATACACCACAACTACCGAGCCCACGCTCTAGAGCCCGTGAGCCGCAACTACTGAGCCCGCGTGCTGCAACTACTGAAGCCCACGCGCCTAGAGCCCAGGCTCCGCAACAAGAGAAGCCACCGCAATGAGAAGCCCACTCACCACAACAAAGAGTAGCCCCCACTTGCTGCAACTAGAGAAAGCCCGTGAGCAGCGACAAAGACCCAGTGCAGCAAAAAAAACAAAAAACAAAGCAAAACAGGCTTTAGCAGTAAATACTAATGGACTAAGAATTGCAACATGTGTATTATGAAACAAGAAGTATGGGAGGGCATTAGGTTCAAAATCAAGAACCTTACCATTTATTTTACTCTTTCAGAAACCATTGTGGCTATTAAAATTATTAAGTGACACTAAAGTATTACATGATGAATTCCACATTTTAAATTTAATTTTATTACATATTTTAGTTTTAAAATTTAATTCAATTAAATGCTACACTAGACAAAAAACACAAGATATCTTTATCATTTTGCTATATGTCTATTTTCCAACTGAATAAAACATTTTTTAAAATAAATGTACTATTAAATAGGTAAATTCTTCATTATTAAATAGAAAATCTGAGATTCTACAAAATTTAAGATTAGCCTCCTATATAACAGATTAGGAGATTAATTAAATGGTCCTCCATGTAGCTAATGTTTATTCATGTTAACTGTAATATTTATTTTAGGATATTAGTAAATCAGAGGATGAAAAGATGTCAGTTGTTTAACCTTTTCAGTACTGAGGAGAATGAAGAATTTAAGCCTATGTCCTAAAAACGAAATGGAAGTAGGAAAAAAGAAATGAAAAGATTAGGAGGGAAATGGGGAGCAGCTTTGTTTTCAAACTTACAAGAGTAAGGTCTACATTTGCCATCACCACGAAGAGCCCGGCATCCTTGGCATTGCTAATCCACATCTTTGACCCGTTGATGACATAATAATTTCCCTTTTTATCAGCTTTGGTCTTCAAAGCAAATGAATCGCTACCTGCTCCAGCCTCTGAAAGGCAGAAACTTCCCATCTACACATGCAAAGGAAAAATTCCAAATTAATACCTATATTTATACTTTGCATAACAAATACCCACTTATAGCAAAATAAACATTTGAAAATCAAACTTTTAGCTACTTCTAAAAGCCTGTATGTATCAAAATAGTAATGGTATTCTGACAGTATTACTTTCCAAACTATACCCCACTATTTGTCTAAGGCAGATTTAAAGACCTAAGCACACATATTCAATGTTAAGCTTAATTAAATTAGTTTTCATAATTACAGGAGAAAGACAGCTCAATGTAAATGAAACTACCAACAAAGGTATTAGACAATATAATTGGGACCAAAAAAGAAATAATTTTATTGTCCAATGATAATTCCCTACATTTCCAAGTGGCAAATGAGAGGCAGAGTGTATTTTTCTAGTAGCATTAATTTATTGAGCATTGCTTGAGTTATTAACGGTGCTGTGTTGTGGTCCTGAATAGAAAAGCCAACACTGCGGCTGCTTTTCTCCTGAAAATATCCTATATTTAGAAAAGATCAGATCCATTTCAATAACTCATCTCAACTCACTTGTTCTGTAGCTAGCTTGGGCAAATAGATGGCCTTCTGTTCTTCTGTTCCGTATTTTCCAATTAGCCTGTTAATTACCGTGTTCTGGATGTCACATACCAGAGCCACAGACGCATCAACTTTGGCTAATTCCTCTATCACTAGGATAGAGGAAAAAAATGAAGCTCCTGTCCCTCCATATTTGGTGTCAATTTCAATACCCATCAACTAAAGGGAAAATAAGGAAACATAGATTAAGAAAGCTATTTTTATATGGGACAATTCCTTGCAAGAACAAGTTCAAAAATAATTTGTAACCACATCAGCTTAATTTAAAAATTCTGTACGTATATCTTTCTTTAATTTGGTATGGCTCTTTCACTCTAAGTAACAAAAAAATCTATAACAGAAACTAAATATATTTGCAAAGGATAAAATTACATGCTAGAACTATCATTTGTTTCCTTTGGGGATCTAAAAAACAAAAATAAGAGAGGTAAAATGCTTTGAAGGATACTGGAATGGAATAGTGAAAAAATATATAATTAAGAAACTGAAGAAAGCGGTGGAATATCTAGTTTCATTTAGCGTAATCTCTTCGAGTCAGCCCCCCACCTTGACTCTTTCAGCCGAGATAATAATTGAATGACCATTCCTTTTGGGCCATTTTAGCAAGTCCAGATGGTTAGCAGACCACATGTGGTGGTGTTTCCTAGAACCACACTAGACAGGCCCAGGTGCCTGGTAAACATGGCCAAATACTGGTCAAGGCTTTCCAGTAACTGCCTGACTGTTCAGTAACCAGTCCTAAGTCTGGAACATGAAACGTCCGTAACACTCCATTTTTAAGTGTCCTCATTTCAGAAGGAGAATGTGTGCACATGTAATTCAAGACCCAAAGCTGTGAACAGGTAAAAGGGCAATGCTTCTTTCTATCCTCTCCAGGCACTCTAGAGTCACACGCGCTGCAGCCTGGGTGTGGCTGTTATATTCTAAGCTGATGGGAAACTTAGCTGATATGAAGTTAGAACCACATGGGGGAGGATAGAAAGGCTGAGGGAACCAGAAATGGTGTTCTATGAGGAAGAATTCAAGGACTGGGGTGTGCCTGAAGACTGGGGCCTGCATGAGAATATCGGACTATCATATCTTTAACAGCTGTCAGAGACACTGCTTCTCTAAAAAGGTCACCAAATTCCCCTACACTGGAAATATTTGTCAGTTATTATGGCAGGTGACCTTCATAGAAGTGGGACAACAGAAGCTAGGAGTCACGTGAGGCCAAGAATAGCTGGTGCAGGATGTGCAACGTAGACCCTCCATGGGTTACGACATCCAGACAGGAGCAGCTGTGGAGGTGGCAGGCAACTCGTCGCTGCGTGTGACCCTGCCTGCAAGAACTGCCCCTCGGGAGAGTGTTGCTCAAGACCTCTCAGAGAAGCCTAGAGGTTCTGCAAACAATGAAGATGAAATCTGGCTGAGAAGTGGACTCACAGATGCTGTTTGACCCACTGTGGCTCCACATAAGATTCCATTTCCCCAAGTTTCATTGCTAAAAGAAAGGTGGAAAAATCACTACAATACATGGTAGTAAAAAAAAAAAAAAAAGCTGGTGTCTTTTAAACAGTAAGAAATAAAACAGGGGGCCTTCCCTGGTGGTGCAGTGGTTAAGAATCTGCCTGCCAATGCAAGGGACACAGGTTCGAGCCCTGGTCCAGGAAGATCCCACATGCCGCAGAGCAACTAAGCCGGTGCACCACAACTACTGAGGCTGCGCTCCAGTGCCCGTGAGCCCTAACTACTGAAGCCCGCGCTCCACAGCAAGAGAAGCCACCACAATGAGAAGCCCGCGCACTGCAACTTAGAGTAGGCCCCACTCACCGCAACTAGAGAAAGCCCACACGCAGCAAGGAAGACCCAGTGCAGCCAAAAATTAATTAATTAATTAATTATTAAAAAAAGAAATAAAACAGTCATGTGGAAAAGGCTAATTTTCAAACAGGATAACAGGACAAGATTTAAGCCAATGGCTTTGAGTAGGAGCTATTAGTTCTGGGATAGCCTTGGTATTCCAAATACAAAATCTTCACACCTATAGAGAAGGGAGAGATGAAGAGTGCAGTGGCTCTGAAATGTTCTCCTTGGGGCTACCATGCTGATAACCTCTCCCTTAGAAATCGGCTACCTTGGTTAATGTGGAATTCAGATACCACCTCTTGCTTTTAAGTTTTCCACATACATAGGGATTCAGGTAGATGTGCTGGTATGAAGTTTAAAGTAGGGTTTCTTAACCTTGGCATTACTAAGCTGGATAATTCGGTCTTGGCAGGCTGTCCTGTGTACTGTGGGATATTTAGCAGCATCTCCAGCCTCTATCTCACTAGATGCCAGCAGGACACCCAGTTGTGGCAGCCACTGTCTCCAGACATTGCCAAATGTCCTTTGGGGGACAAAAAACAGCCCCCGGTTGAATACCTCTGGTCTAAAGAAATCGCTCTTGCTTCTAGCCTTTTACTTAAAAAGCACAGTATTTCTAATTTAAAATGTTAATTCAATTAAAAATTTTTAACTAGGATCTAAATCTAAAAGAGATCCCAGATAATTCTGATTAGGAAATTATGCTATCATTACAATTCCTAAATTTAAAAGTATGCATACATTTTAACACTGGAAGGTATTTATGAAAGTTTGAAATTGGAAGAATCATTAATTATATACCCCTTGTTGAAATAATCCTCGTATTACTGATTTTTCCATTTTTGAATTTTCATCCATTTTTGAAACCAAAGGAGCAATCTGTTCCTGGGCAAATTTTTTAACTGTAGGGAACAAAAAA